GACTCAACACATTTAATATCATACCTTTGATTCTCTAAGTTCTCATTCTAATGCACAACTGACCATATCACTACATATTTCAATCCCAGAAACAGCACCATCATCAAGATATCATCCAACCTGGAGAACACATTTGTATTCTGACTCTCCTTGTCTAAGTAGCAAAATCACATCACCTTCTATATGTCTTCTGCCGTGTGATTGCCATTGTCATTGTTTTAGGCCCTCTTCATCTTCCTCTTGTAACTATGCTTCTCACTTAGTTTCCCTATATTTCATTTTGACTTTCATATTGCAATCAGAATTCATTTACAAATAAAATCTAAATAAATCAGTCTTCTGTCTAAAATAATTTGATTATACACCATCACATATAAGATAGTTGATAAGATAGTTTAAGATCACAGTTTATAATTCAAGGATCTTTATTAATTAGCTTCTACTAATCTCTATATAATATTTTATAATATATAATCATTTATATACAATAATTGGCAGTATTATTTCCTGCTGAACCTTCATTCATACCCTAAACTCATGTTATGCTGAGCCACTTTAACTTCCCTTTCTTGTACCTCATTGGCTTTCATATATTGTTGAATTTACTGAAACTCTCTTCATATTACTTATGCACCTTCTTTCCCCATCTACTTCTTTATGTAGCTAGGCAGCTCATAGTCATCCTCAATACCTAGTTCAAGCATAATCTCTGGAAAGTCTTTCTTTACTGGCTTTGCCCTCCTCTGTATTCCAATACTCTCATACTACTTTTGAGCTATCTTATGCTGGTTCCTTTGAAAGTCTAAGTCAGACACTATTTACATTCATTAAAAAAAAAAAAAAAAGCCTGTTTTAGCTGTACAGTTTAGTAACTTTGAGTTATTCTGCAGTCTGGCTCAGTTCAGTTGCTCCGTCATGTCCGACTCTTTGCAACTCCATGGACTGCAGCACACCAGGCCTCCCTGTCCATCACCAACTCCCGGAGTTTACCCAAACTCATGTCCATTTAGTCAGTGATGCCAGCCAATCATCTAATCCTCTGTCGTCCCCTTCTCCTCCCACCTTCAATCTTTCAAGGGACTCTCAAGAGTCTTCTCCAACACCACAGTTCAAAAGCATCAATTTTTCCATGCTCAGCTTTCTTTATAGTCCAACTCTCACATCCATACATGACCACTGGAAAAACCATAGCCTTGACCAGACGGACTTCTGTTGGCAAAGTAACATCTCTGCTTTTCAATATGCTATCTAGGTTGGTCATAACTTCCCTTCCAAGGAGTAAGCGTCTTTTAATTTCATAGCTGCAGTCACCATCTGCAGTGATTTGGGACCCCCAAAAAATAAAGTCTGCCACTGTTTCCACTGTCTCCCCATCCAACACCATAGCTTTCTGCCATAAGGGTGGTAAAATCTGCATATGTAAGGTTACTGATATTTCTCCTGGCAATCTTGATTCTAGCTTCTGCCTCATCCAGGCCAGCATTTCTCATGACATACTCTGTAAATAAGTTAAATAATCATGGTGACAATATACAGCATTGACGTACTCCTTTCCTGATATGGAACCAGTCTGTTGTTCCATGTCCAATTCTAGCTGTTGCTTCTTGACCTGCATACAGATTTCCCAGGAGGCAGATAATGTGATCTGGAATTCCCATCTCTTGAAGAATTTCCCACAGTTTGTTGTGATCCACATAGTTAAAGGTTTTGGCATAGTCAATAAAGCAGAGAAGTAGGGCTTCCCTGATAGCTCAGTTGGTAAAGAATCCACTTGCAATGCAGGAGACCCCAGTTTGTTTCTTGGGTCAGGAAGATTCGCTGGAGAATGGATAGGCTACCCACTCCAGTATTCTTAGGCTTCCCTTGTGGTTCAGCTAGTAAAGAATCTGCATGCAATGTGGGAGACCTGGGTTTGATCCATGGGTTGGGAAGATCCCCTGGAGAAGGGAAAAGCTACCCACTCTAGTATTCTGGCCTGGAGAATTCCCTGGACTGTATAGTCCATAGGGTCACAAAGAGTTGGGCACGACTGAATCACTTTCACTTTCACTTCCACTTCACTAAAGCAGAAGTAGATGTTTTTCTGGAACTTCTGCTTTCTTGATGATTCAACAGATGTTGGCAATTTGATCTTTGGTTCCTCTACCTTTTCTAAGTCCAGCTTGAACATCTGGAAGTTCATGGTTCATGTACTGTTGAAGTCTGGCTTGAAGAATTTTGAGCATTACTCTGCTAGTGTGTGAGATGAGTGTAATTGTGCAGTAGTTTGAACATTCTTTGGCATTGTCCCTCTTTAGGATTGAAATGAAAACTCACCTTTTCCAGTCCTGTGGCCACTGCTGAGTTTCCAAATTTGCCATATTGAGTGCAGCACTTTCACAGCATCATCTTTCAGGATTTGAAATAGCTCAGCTGGAATTCCATCACCTCCACTAGCTTTGTTCGCAGTAATGCTTCCTAAGGCCCACTTGACTTCGCATTCCAGGGTGTCTGCCTCTGGGTGAGTGATCACACCATCATGGTTATCTGGGGCATGAAGATCTTTTTTGTATAGTTCTTCTGTGTATTCTTGCCACATCTTCTTAATATCTTCTGCTTCTGTTAGGTCTATACCATTTCTGTCCTTTATTGTGCCGATCTTTGCATGAAATGTTCCCGTGGTATCACTATTTTCTTGAAGAGATCTCTAGTCTTTCCCTTCTATTGTTTTCCTCCATTTCTTTGCATTGGTCACTTAGGAAGGCTTTCTTGTCTCTCTGTGCTATTCTTTGGAACTCTTACATTCAAATGGGTATATCTTTCCTTTTCTCCTTTGCCTTTAGCTTCTCTTCTTTTTTCAGCTATTTGTAAGGCCTCCTCAGACAACCTGTTTTGCCTTTTTGCTTTTGCATTCTGTCTAGCATATCTAAATTTCAGCCCTTCAAGTGAATGTATGGGTATATCACTGTGGTTTTAGTTTACATTTCCCTAATGAATAATGAAGTTGACAACCTTTTATGTTCTTACTTTTCAACTGCCCATCTTCTCTGTTGAAGTGTCTGTTTAAAACATTTATTGTTTTGTTAAATTGCTTTGGTTCACTTTGTATTACAGAATTGTTTATACAATATGAATACACACATATATATAATCTTACAGCTCCATTATACATACGTGTATGTGTATGCATTTTCATACATATATACATGTGTACTATGTATGTGCATATTTATATGCATGTACAATATTCTGAACATTAGTATTTTTAATGCAATTTGTACTCTAGACTGTGGGTAGACTTCTCACTTTTAAAAAGTTCTTCTGAAAATAGAAGTTTTAAATTTCAACCAAATTCAATTTTAACAAATGTTTTTATCATTCATACTTTTTGCTTCCTTTCTAAGAAATCTTTGTATGACTCAGGTTTCCAAATTTTATCCCCTACATTTCCATCTAGAAATTTTTGTAGTTTTGTTTCTATGATACATTTCAAGTTCAACTTTATACATTGTGATATAAACTTCATTTTTTTTTAAATTATTAATTGTCCCATTTGTTGAAACACTATTCTCTCCCCCATCAAACTACCCTGAATCTTTGCTGAAAGTCATTAGGCCACATACCTGTGAGTGGCATGTGAGTATATTTCTGGACTATCCCTGTTCCAGTTATATATTTGCACATTCTTCAACAAACACCTCACTCTTTTTAGTACTCTAGCATTATAGTAAATCTTGAAATGAGGTAGTGTCATCATACTCTTTCATTTTTAAAATTGTTTTGATCATTCTGTGTTCCTTTAATTTCCACATATATATAATAGTTTCAGCTTGTCCATTTGCAGAAAATACAGACTTCTGAAATTTTGGCTGGGTTAAATTTCAACCTATAGATAAATTTAGAATGAAAACAATTTCTTTCAGCATATTTTGTAGGTTTCAGTGTACAAATATTGCACCTGGATTTTTTCAAAAACATGTTTATATGTTATTGTTAGTAGTATCTAATTTCAAGTGTACATTGTTTAAATATAGGAAAATAAGTTCTGTATATTACTTTGAATCTGAGACTGATAATATTCTTTTATCAGATCTAATTGTTTTTACATATATTGAGATTTCCCACACACAGAGTAATGCCATCGGAAATGAAAATTATTTCTGATATATATAAATTTTATCTACTTACCTATTTGGAACTCATATAATATTTTCTATTTTAATATAGAGGGTTGTATCCAACTCACCAGGCCAGGCTGATTTCTTAGTCACCATTGGACGACAAAGATCCATCTAGTCAAAGTTACGGTTTTTCCAGTAGTCATGTATGGATGTGAGAATTGGCCTATAAAGAAAGCTGAGCGCCAAAGAATTGATGTTTCTGAACTGTGGTGTTGAGGAAGACTCTTGAGAGTCCCTTGGACTTCAAAGAGATCCAATCAGTTAATCCTAAAGGAAATCGGTCCTAAATATTCATTGGAAAGACTGATGCTGAAGCTTAAACTCCAATACTTTGGCCACCTATAGGTTGAAATTTGTGAAGAACTGACTCCTTGGAAAAGACCCTGATGCTGGGAAAGATTGAGGGCAGGAGGAAAACGGGATGAAAGAGGATGAGATGTTTGGATGGCATCACCGACTCCAGGGACATGAGTTTGAGTAAGCTCCTGGAGTTGGTGATGGACAGGGAAGCGTGGCGTCCTGCAGTTCATGAGGTTGCAGAAAGTTGGACACGACTGAGTGACTAAACTGAACTGATTACACAGAATAACTGAACATTCCTTCCTGAAAAGTTCAGGACAAAAGCAGTACTGAGTGATTCTGCCCTTCTCCATGTTAGATTTGGCTTTAATAATTTGCTATTTCTGATTAATATATTCCAGTTGAAAGAAGCTAGGGGTCCTCACCCTTAATAAATCACTCTACCAGGCAGGTTCCATGCCTAGATGGCTAGCCCGTCGACAGCCCGGATTTCAGGAAGGGTAGCATGGACCACTTCAGTCCCTAGAGGCTAAAACTCACCTGACCGTGTGGAAGTACATCTGCTGCCGCATGGGATCCAGTTGCCCCTCAGGCTCTTCTGAGTCACTCTCACACCTCATGGTTCAGTTCCGCTCCAACTTCACGAGAATGAAGTAGCCCTCTCGAAGAGATGAATAAATGGTTCCTGAGCCCTCTCGGCCCCGGACCTATTAGCAGAAGCGGCCGCTCAGCCTTGGCAGCCTCCTCCTCTGCTCACTCAGGGCCCGGCTCGCATGAGCGGTTCAGTCGCCGTGTCTCGAGGCATGCTGGGAAATGAAGTCCGTGTCGCGTAACCGTAGTCCAAGTGGCACGTGACGTGCGGAGGGTTCCTGGGAATTACTCTCTGACTCGTGAGATCTTCGGATGCTCAGAACCAGAGGAATTCAGAGAAAAAGGTATTTCCTGGTGTTGGGGTTATTTGATGCATGCCAATAGATCTTCTGGATTGTTTACCAACTTTTTAATTTCACAAAGAGCCCATTTATTGAATATTTAATCATTGTGGGCCAGATCCAGTACTTGAGGTTGAGGAATAAAGAAAGTTCCTGTCCTCAGGTTTACAGACACTGGAGAACACAGACAGGCGTGCAAACTGTTGCAATACACTGTGGGACTAAGCCCTAGATTCTAAGGAAGGAAGTTCCTGGATTTAGGGGATGGGGAAAGTTTCCTGTAGGAGATATAGGGGAACAGACCGGAAGAGACCGGGAGAAAATCCCTTTCCAGTCCGGCTTCAGCCAGCCTGAAGCAGCAGTACTAGCGAAGTCTGAGAGGAGAGAGAACTTTGAAGGAGTTATTGCTTCCAATGTGTTGGGAAGCATTTTCATATGATTGAACCCCAAAGAGCAGAGGTGATGGTCATGGTGGGAAGCCATGCAGTGGACAGATGTGAGAAGAAGAGGCAGGTGCCAAGATCACATTGGGCCTCAGACACTGTGTTAAGCCATTTTGTCTTTATCCTAGGAAGAGTGGGAAGCTGGTGATGATTTTAGGGAGGGATATCACAGGATTAGATGTTTCCAAATGATACACACCTTTTTAACATATTTAGATTTTATTTTATATATTCTTAAATATTTTGTAGACTTCTTCCTATACTTACTATTTCTCACAACTCATTTTAAAGTGGAGTAATATGAATACCCTCTACTCTTCACTAGATTCACCATTTTTACATTTATATATATATATATATATGTATATACTTATATATTATTTTCTTTAACTGCGTATTAGTAGACGTTATTTTTTAAAATGGTTTTGCTGCTGCTGCTAAGTCACTTCAGTCATGTCTGACTCTGTGCGACCCCATAGACGGCAGCCCACCAGGCTCCCCCGTCCCTGCGATTCTCCAGGCAATAACACTGGAGTGGGTTGCCATTTCCTTCTCCAATGTGTGAAAGTGAAAAATGAAAGTGAAGTCGCTCAGTCGTGTCCGACTCTTTGCGACCCCATGGACTGCAGCCTACTGGGCTCCTCCGTCCATGGGATTTTCCAGGCAAGAGTGCTGGAGTGGGGTGCCATTGCCTTCTCCTAGGTACACCCAAAAATTGAACAGAAAGTTCCCACATGGCCTTTAATTTCACACACTTACATGCTGTTATTCACATCTTGCATCAGTGTGATAGATTTGTTACAATTCACGTGCATTGTGTTTCCTACAGTTTAATGAATATCATGGTATGTATCCATCATTAGGATACAGAATAGTTCTGCTCTCCTAAAAAGCCCTGTGTTCCACCTATTCATCCCTCTTTCCCTCCAAACCCTTGGCACTTAGTTTCCCCCATTGGCTGTCACTTTCCTTACAGTGTTGAATAGAGCTGATGAGTGGATGTCTTGTTTTATTTCTGATCATAGGGCTAAAGCACTCACATTAAGCATGAAGTTATATGTGATTTTGATGCTTGCCCTGAACAGATTTAGAAATTACTCTCTGGTTCTTGTTTTATGGGAATTTTTTGTTATGAATGGATACTGGATTTCATTAAATGCTTTCAACATGTATTAAGATGATGTTTATTGATATGATCATATTTTTTTCTCCTTTATTATTTTAATGTGGTCAGTTACACTGATGCATTTTTAAATTGGCAAACTGCTATTTTAGTTCCGCTAAAACTACAGCAGTCCTAATGTATTATTATTTTTTATATTGCTGTATTTTATTTGCTAAGTCTTTTGTTAAGTCTGTTTTTGTGTAAATTAGTGGTGGATATCAGTATTTAGTTGTTTTTTTTTTTCCCCTTGAAATATCTTTGTCTGGTTTGGGTACCATAATGCTTGCCCCATAAAATGAGTTTGGATATGTTCCTTCCTTGTTGTTTTGCTAAAAGATTTAATGAAGGATTGCTATTTTCTCTTCCTTAAATGTCTGATGGATTTGACCAATGATGCTTTCTAAAACCATAATGTTCTTTGTGGAAAGGTTTTAAATTGCAAATATATTAAAGTGTTATAGGGCTATTAAGATGTATTATATCCTCTAGCATCAAGTTTTAAATGTGTGCTTTCAAGGAATTTTTGTAATTCACATAAGATGTCAAATTTATTTGCATATATTTATTTGATGTTATTATGTAGCACTTGTGCTGATGACTCTTCTTTAATTCCTGTTATTTGGTAATTTTGTCTTCTCTCTTTTTTATTTACTTTAATCAGTACAACCTGAGTGTTTTCTTTTTAACTTTGTAGATCATTTTAGAAAAACTGCTTTCAGTTTTAATGATTTTTCTCTGTATTCATTTCTTATTTTAATGATCTTTCTCTTTCTTATTTATTTTTTCTGTTTACCTTAGTCTTACTTTTTGTTTTCCTAACTTTTTCAGAGGTAGAAGTCTCAATCATTGATTTTAGACTTTTTCTTGTATTTGATATAAGCACTTAAATATATAAATATCTGTGTAAGAACTGTATTGATTATGAATGCAAATTTTTGTTCTTTTTTTCATTTTCATTCAGCTTATAATATTTTATAATTTTTATATTTATAATTTATAAAATTTTTTATAATTTTTCTTTGCTATCCTCCTTGACCTGTGTGTGGGTTATTGAGAAGTGTATTATTTAATGCTTGTAGTAATTATTTCACACATAGGATCCATTTTTTGTTTTTCCATAGTGGAAAGTCAATCTAGCTCAAGGTATTTCATCATGCAGAAGATGTTTTTAAATGACTTTCCAATGTTTGGAGTGTTTGCCATAATTCTTTTGTGTACTATCCCTACCCTTTAGAAAGGAGCCAGAACATCAGTTTCTCAGCCTTTCTTACATCTAAAACAAAAACCTAGGTTTACTAGTCAGAGGTACCAGTGTATGACCTTGATTCAGAAGAAAGCTATCTGAAGAAGTAGATGCATGAAGAAATTAGTTTTTTCTAGTGATGCTGGTGACGTAAAGCGTTAACATAAAGCGTTCGAGGTGGAGTGGCTAGGGTTCTGATGTTCATGGTTCAGTTTTAGCGGTGTGGTTTTAGTGTTTTCTTTAGATGAATGACCTCTGAATCTTATACTTTGCTCTTCCCTGTTCCCTGAGATTTTGTAAGGTTGTTTTTAGGTAAATTGCTTTTCCATTTGAATTAATTAAGGTGGCTTCTGTTACTTTGAAAGGGAATTATGACTGACAAAGAGGTGATTATTTTTCCAAATAATTTGCAAGTAAGTAAATCAGCTTTTAATCAGAAATATGTAACACTTTGCCTGCACTTCAGGACAGACAAGAACAGTGTTTGTATACAGAGTGATTATTGAGTAAATATAAATGAATTGAAATACATTCATGTTATTAAAATATACAGTTGTTCTTTAGATTGTCTTTGAGTATGATTAATTGTCCTACTAAGAAATCACAATTTGTATTACATAAAATATTTTTGCTACAAGGTGTTTTATCCTCCAGACCTCTTATGTTTTATCTTTACTATGTTATATTACAAGTATTTATGAAAATAGGCTGGAATGATATGAAAGTCTGTAGACTGTCTCTGACAATCCATTTCAAATTGCTACCATAAAAATTTCTGTGAATAAATTCAATTTAGTGCCTAATTTGCTTATTACTAGTATTACTATAAAAAAGAAAGAACAAAAAACTTGCCCTGACAAATGATTCCAAAGTGTGTTCACCCTTTAGATTAACTCCATGATGATACATGTGAACTTGTGGGTGAGCTGAATAGTTTCCAGTTACAGATTCTTAAACTTTAATTTTCAGAATGGATATATTGAGGATTGGTTGACTTCACTATCTAAATCTGAAATTTCAGCACACTTATTCCATAGAATTGCTTTTTGGGGGGGACTGCTAGTTGTGTAGGGCACTGCTGGGTATACAGCAGTAGGCACATGAGTGAAAACTGACTTGCACTGTATCTTCTGTTTGCTCCCTTACTGCTGTTTTACAACCCACTTGATATTGTTCTGTGCCCTAGAAGTGTGATCCTCATGAGCTCTGCAGTTTGGAATACTTTGGTTGGTAAATGGGAGGCGCCAGGAGGAGATCAGTGCATGAAGGGAAAAGAGGTGGAGACAATTATCCACCAACTTCCTCCTTCCTGGTGTGTTGTTGACGGAGGATGAGTTCGACTGTTGAAGGCTGCAACTTCTGTCTGGTGGTTCCACAAGATTTTTCTCTTTGAAAACAGCTCCCTGTCTTTGTCCCTTCAGACTTAAAAGCAGTGCTGTTTTACACTCCACTTAACTCCAGGGTGCTTACCAAGGTATCCTTGTTATTTTTCTTTAACTCTGCCCCCAGATTTTGTAAATGGTCTTGTCTTTGAATTTATTTAATCACCACTTTTGGGTGGAGGGTCTGTTTTTCTGCTGATACAGTAATTAATTAGACCGGGAATGATCCCAGGAATCAGGGCTTCCAAATGAGAATCTGGGAGTAGGTTGCTCATTTAGTTAATAACTACATGGATAGCTTACTTCTGAGGTAAAAAATAAGAAAATGGTAATCCATGCTTTTCAGTGAAAGCATAGTTGCTCAAATTATCATTGGTCATGGTAGTGAAAGATGAAATATAGTCAGTATCAACTCCATCAGCATACAACCAGGGCAGTCATAATAAATCTTATTGTTTAATGCTAGGTAGTCACTGTGTTGAAATTCTTAATAAATTTTATCAGTGTTTGTAAGTGAAGTTCCATGGATAATATAGCACATGTCAAAGTCTTGGAATTTCAGCTCACATCCAGTCCCTCCTCCTTCTGCCTCTCTCTTCCATCATGTGACTGGCCTT